CGGATTATTATAAATTATAAATTATTATAATTTATAATAATAATTTATAATTTATAATATATTCTTTTTCTTAACTCTTATCTCTGGCTAGGTGAACAAACAATGACGCAAATTAGTGAAAGCGTTAAGTTTTCTATTTGTAATTTCACTAATAAACTTACATAAGCGGCTGTCATGGCAGGATAAACGTCGAAGCCGGGACTCATATAATACGGAACCATCAGAAATAATTTAGTGGCAAAAGCCAAGTAAAGTGCCGAGCTTAAATACAGGAAGCAGGCTAAACAATTGAACATCATTTCCTGATATTGATAAAAAAAAATGTAACACATAATTTCTAAATTATAGAATTAATAGCAACAAAAATATTATTTAAATTATATAATAAATATATAAATATTGACATATTAACAAGTAATTATTTCAAACAATTTAGATAATGGGATTATTTGATATTTCTCTTTTTGTATTTAATATTTCATTATTATTTGAGATATAGATAAATACATACAAAAAGTGAAGCTCGAATTAATTTGTAAGATTTTTCAGAAATTGCATAGCAAGCGAGTAACAGAGCGGAAATCAGGAAGCAAGCGGATGCCGTGGTCAACGATCCTTCGAAAGCCGATCCAATAGATGAACTGTAGCCCAAGCCATAATTTATAAGCAAACTCTGAATTAATCCGCTGATTACCTGGAATTATACATATAATATTAATTACATTAAGCGTGATAAAATTATAATTATATATTTAAAAATAATATATGAAGAACATTCAATGGAGACCGATAGAATCATGTGGTATTTTATTTCAAAAAATTTAATACAAAGAGTAAATAAAAAAAACTATTAGAGTATCTAATGACATTATACCTAAACCAAGTTTTTACAATTAGTCTCTAATATATAGTATATTCTTTACACTTTTAAAGTGAAATAGGTAAAAATGTTTAATATGTAAAAATGAGAGGGAAATTGCAGACCAATGTAGCAATAAAAAAATTTATGATTTTCCTTAGAAAGCGTGAAGTTAACATATTAAGTTTATTCTCGGTGCTTTAAATTCATAAAAATTTTTTAACTTAAAACAAGATAAATAATAGATAGATGAGAGGGATAAAGCGAAAAAAAAGAAAAAAATAAGTTAGTAATGAGAAGAATTTAAAGATATTGTATTCTATGTTATATATCATTTATAATTTTACGTATTAGGTGTACAAATTGATCCTCAGCTTTTTTTGACCAACTTTGACATTTATTTATAAAAACATGAGTACACACAAACTCAATCTTCAAAATAATCTTCCTCGCCGTTTATACATGGTTTTCATCTCTCAGGCAATTGCCGGATTCCAGATCGGAAAAATGGTGGTGGCTTTGAATTAATGAATTCATCGAGGCTTTTTTCAACCTCTTCAACTGACTTGAATTGAGAATCAGTTAGGTGATGTCGTCTCGCAGTAGGACTCAAAATAAATAATCCGAAGGAGCTAAGTCTGAAGAATACGCCGCATAAGAGAGAATTTCCCAGCCTATGTAAATCGGAGATGATTTCCACAATGTTTTTTGCTGTATAGGGTCGAGCATTATCCTGCAACAGTATCACTTTTCTTCTTCCACTGCCAATAAATGGTCTTTTTTCTTCAAGAGCGTCATTTACGCGAATTAATTGCTGTTGATAAAGCTCAGCAGTCGCGGTCTGATCTTGTCGGAGCAATTCATAGTGGATCACGCCCTCCTGATCCCATCAAATGCATAGCAACACCTTTTTTGTATGTTCGGTTTTGCGATACTCGTTGACGGCTCATCTGGATAGACCCATGATTTTCGCTCCTTAGAATTATCGTATAATATCCACTTTGCATCGCAAGTAACAATTTTGTGCAAAATGTCCTTTTTCTTGAACTTGAAAAGAAAGCAAGGAGAGAGCAGTATCGTAGCGTCTGCTTTTTCGGGAGTGAACTTATGAGGGATCCATCGACATTCTTTGCAAATCCTCCCCAGCTGTTTTAGGCGATAGGAAACGTCTTGTTATGTTACTTCAAGCGCATTTGCAAGTTTCGATTGAATTTGGTAAGAATTCTCATCCAAAATGTTCTCCAACTCTTCGTCTTCCACTTTTATTGGTTGATCAGGGCGTTCGATCCTCAAGGTCGAAATTTCCTTTTCGAAACTGTTGGAACCATTTTTTACACGTGCTGTATGATACAGCATTTTCACCGAAAGCCGAAGAAATTGTTTCTTTCACCTCAGTAGCGTTTTTTTAAAGTTGAAACGCGAAAAGAAAACAATGCCAAAATGTTTCTTTTCGAACGACATCGTGTTTATTGCTGATATTTCAGGTGTTACGTTCACAGGAAGATCAAATATTGTACCTCATTTTAAAGCTAAAAGATGGCACTTCAAAATGACTACAGAGGGGGCAGAGAAAGTTCAATTTAAATAATTCTGAGGTCGCTGAAAGGTAGGGGCCGAGAATTAATTTGTACATTAATATACCAAATTTTGCGTATACCAAATAATGTACGTGTAACTGTAACGTACCGTTTCACAAACTTTTATGATTCCTGGTAATGATTTAAAGAACTCTACGTGTATGCACGTGCAACATCTAAAGCAGCAGCAACCGACACCGCCCGTGCCGTGCGTACCAGAGGATGACATCCTGATTATAGGTCCCATATTGCTCGTGTTAGGTTGTCCCTATAATTCTGTTGTAGACGATTAATTTAATGCTCTTGTACTGAATTGTGACACTCATTAAATTGTCTCGTTTGTGTGATCTGACACTTTTTATTATCTCTTCACTTAGTGAATTAAATTATCCTCCTCTTTTTTTCTTTTTCTTCGTCCAGGATAATTAAATGGATAATTAAACTTAACGATCCCGGACACAATGGTCCACTTACACAAAAAAGTATTTTTTTTTAATAATTCTTTTAGTGTAGCAATTAAAATACTTTTTAATATAAGTAAAAGAATAAAATAACATTGTACATACCGAAAGATTAAAATTTTTTTACAATTTAATTTACAACTTAATTGTTTTTAATGTTTAACTTTTGTTTTCTAATTTTTAGAAGAACGCACAGCATGATCAAGACAAACGATAGTTTTAAACTGACTGAGGGTGTGGGTCTGTGCATCCACAAAGTCTGAATGTCGTTGCACCCCCCACATAGCATTCAACACAAGGGAAATTACTGTCTATTTCTGGCATGTCTTACTCATGCCAGAATTCTAAATGCTTCGCCCGCTCTGCGTAACTGATAGAAACGCAAAAAAACTTGAATGAAAGGTAACTACATAAAAGTATAATGCATTTCAATATTTATAAAATATAATTTATATTATAAAGAAAAATTAATGTTCAAATTAATGGTCATGTTAAGCTTTACATAAAATTACATGTTTATTTAAAAAATATATGACATATTAATTAACATGTTAAAAAAAAATTAATTAAAGTTAATAAATGCCAAGTAGGTACTTACCAAATGTAGTTTAACTGTCAAGATTTATTGTATGCTTTTGCACATTGATTCAAATAAATAAGGTTTCTAAGATATATGTTTAACTTCTCTCTCAATTTCTTGCAGTAAAGAGTAAAAATTGAACCAGTCTTCAAAAAGAGTAGCTTAACTTTTAACTTTTAAGAATGACATTTCTCTTCAAAAATTTACTTTACTAAAAGTTTTAAAGAGTTGTAAAGTAATACAACTTGTGTTATAGGATAGACTAATTAAAATGAATAATTATCAAGTATCAAACTTAATCAATAATCAAAATTTATTGTATAACAACAACATATATTTTTTCAACACATATTGGTTTAAATAAATAAAATTTCTAAGATAGACAAGTTTAAGTTGTAAAGTATAACAACCTGCATAAAAATACTATTCATTTTCACTTTTTATCATAACCGCGATTATGTAGTTCAACTTTACAGAATTGACGGTGGATTTATCGGTCCCCTTCAATTATAAGTAAATTAGTGTTATAAACATAGTATACTTATTCTTTTGTTATAGTTATAATATTTTGAATTAGAATTAATTAATACTTTTTAGTCAATATAAATTATATGGTGGGTCTCTACATCAGACATCAGTATAAACTATGTTACAGTTTTGACATCAGGAGGCCTAATTACTCCATCCATATTGTGATATAGGCGATGATCGCGTTGAAAATATATAAAATGGTATTTAGTAGACCACAAATCTAAATAAAAGATAAAAATTACAATTTTTTATATAATAATGTTTATGCATTAATGCTTTATTTGTGTATGTGAATGTGTATGCGTGTGTGTGCGCTCCTGTGTATATACACATATACGAGTACATAACACAATTTCAATTTATAGCATTACAAATTTTTGTACAAATATAATATTATACTCACAGAAGCTGCTAATAATGCCTTATAATTATACACTGTATCACCCGTATGTATTTCTGTTATCAGACTTATTGAAGCCGCAAATAATATTACGGTTGCAAAAAAATTATAAAGGGATTCCTGAAAATTAAAAGAGGAATATTTATCGACATAATTTTTAAAATAAATTTAATAAAATATTCTTCTTTAATAATTTATTTTAAATATGTAAACACATTTCAGCTTTAAAACAACTTTTTTTCTTTTATAAACAAAATAAAACTAATGAATAAAATAAATACATAAAACAAGTCAATTTTATTTATGTATTATATTATATAAATAACTTACGTGTATTGTTTTAGGTAAAATGGATGCAGTAAATGGAGATACCAGGTAACTAAGAAAAAAAATGAATGTACCAATAAAAAAATTAGATGTTGCAATAAGAAAGAAGTATTCCTTTTGACATAAAGAAAAAATGGTAGGATTAATGTTATCACTGATGATTCCTATACAAATAGCACCAAGCACCTGTTTATAAAAAATTAAAAAAACTAATTATAAAAAGATACAATCTCTTCACATAAAAATTATTAACAAATACATTATTCAATATTATTCAACAAAAAAGTTTACTTGAAAACGCAATAGAATTATTAGTATCTCAACTGAAAAGCGTATTACAATTGAAAAACAAAAATAATAATTTTAATATAACATAATCTTATTCTATTATCTCAAATATTATTTTAAAATTCCAAGTATTTCTAGATAAATTATATATATGTTTTAAAATTAACAATGATAATAATTTCTTTCACTAAATATGCTAAATATTTAATATAATTAAATGCGGCAAAAATTATTAAATATTAAAATTACTTTTTTTTATATCGTCTATTGTATTTCTATCGAAAAATTGGCAAACATTGACAATTAATTAACTATTCATGTTTAATGAAGATAATATTATACCCAAATAACAAAAAGTGTCCAAAATGAGAAATAAGAAATGTTGTTGGCGTCTAAAAAAACGTCTTAAAATTATTATGTCTCAATTTTGGACTTTGTGCTGTCTGGATGGGTAATTATCTGCATTATAGATAATATTATATAGATAAAATTGATAAACAGGTTATAACAATAAATCAACAAAAATTACTATAATAATTACAATTTATACCAATTGTTGCAATTTAAAAATACCGTTCCAACTTTTCAAGTACTCAGTATTAATGATAATATTTAACATTGTTGTGCCTCGTTTTATTGTTTGTCCTAAAATCAATAATAATTATTCTTTACTTTTAATATGTAAAATTTATCTTGCACAATTAAGCTTTGATAAAATAAAACAATTACTTACTTATTGATCTAATAAATAGTTAATTAA